GAGAGAGAGAGAGAGAGAGAGAGAGAGAGAGAGAGAGAGAGAGAGAGGAAAGGGAGAGAGAGAGAAATGAACCAGATCCTGCCCTCAAGGAGCTTACATTCCACTGTGGGGTCCAGGGCAAAGAGAGTGGAAAAAAGAGAGAGATATGTAGTATGTATATAAATAAGTATAGTATAAGAAAAACTGATGCAGGAGGCAGTATCAAGGTCTTAGGGAATCAGGGAAGCCTTCACAGAAGATGGGGCACCTCATTTGAGTCCTGAAGGAAGGCAAGGATTCTAAGAGGTGGCAAAGAGGACAGAGGGCACTCCAGGCATGGGGAAGAGCCTGTGCAAAAGCACAAGGAAGATGATGAGGAGTTGAGTTTGGGGAGTAATAGGCCATTTGGCTGGAATGCAGAGTTCAAGAAAGAGATGAATTCAAAGTCAGGCTGGAAAAGCAGGTAGGAGGTTTGGTCAGGCCCTTAAGTTTGAGACTAAGGAATATGATTTTTATCTTGTAAGTGATGTAGGCGATAAAGGCTGCTGAATGGGAAAATTCCATTCAATGTAATTTAGGAACTCCTTGGGGAAGATTTATACCCAACAAACTAAGATCAGTTAATTGATCAGCAGATCGTTTTCCAAATGCCTCCTGTATATTCATCATTGTGTTAGGAAGAGGGAAGAATTCTAAGAAGGAAAGCTTTGTAAAGCTTTTTGTTGTTCAGTTGTTTTACAGTTGTGTTCAACTCTTTGTGACTCCACTTGAAGTTCACTTGGCAAAGATATTGGAGTGGTTTGTCATTTCTTTCTCCAGCTCATTTTACAGATAAGGAAACAGAGGCAAACAGGAATAAATGACTTGCCCAAGGTCACACAGCTAGTATCTGAAGCCAGATTTGAAATCAGATCATCCTGACTCTAGGCCCTGTGCTCTATTCACCGTGTCACCCAACTTCCCTTACATTTGTTCAACTTACAAAGTGCTTTCGAATATCACTTGACACTCCACACTCATCCTGTGAGGTAAACAGGGATTATTATCCCTATTTTACAGATGAGGAAACTGAGACTCATCAAAGCTATAACTAATGTTTCAATAATAATAATGTATATTAATAATATAATAAATTGTATTTTAATAATGCTACCATACCAAATACTTATAATCTCCAAACTACATAGAAAAAAAAGCTTCCAAAATAGAGAGACCTAGAGGAAGAAGATTCAGCACCTACCAAATGCCTAGAAAAACACAAACTAGCGACTAGAACGATACATCAAGAGCTCACTATTTTTCATAAACTAATGGATGACCAATCAAGCAACCAACCAACCAGCGTTTATTCCCATACTACAAAATACACACCTCAAAATACCTTTGAGAATTCTACAAATACCTTGTATAGGAAATGAGCCATTAGCATAGAAATGTTGCCCTCAATCATCTAAAAATAGCACAGATGGATACAAATTCATAAAAAGAACAATGTTTCCAATATATATCACAATCTATTAGAATCGTACCAAATAGTCACAATTTCCAAGGTACGTAAAATGAAAAGTCTTCAAAATATAGTGACTAAGCAAAAGAAATCAAAATCACCCAAGAACAAAATTACATACATGTCATGCCTGACACCCTGTCTGCTACTAGAATTGTCCTAAATATGCCTTTCGTGAATAGATAGTGTCGTGGAAGCAATGAACACGAGCTTGAAAGACTTCAGGAGATAACGGCAGATAGAAGGACCTGGTGTTGCTATGGTCCATGAGGTAGCAAAAAGTAGGACACGAGTGAACGACTGAATAACCACAAACAGAAACTGTACATAGATAAGCCATAAGCACTACAGTGAACCAAAGGCTTTGCAATAATTAACAAAGACCATATCAATGTGACAGTGCACGGAAGCTTATTCAATGTGCCAAACTGTTAAGTTGCTTTTTGAAACCCTGGAATTTTTTTTGACATATCCTTCTTGCTCCTCAGTCCGTATATTGTTTTCTTGTAAGTATTTATAAATTTTTTTTTAGTGGCATGAGTTATGCTTTATATAAAGTATATGAACAAATAATTGGCCCAGAGCAAGACTGATCACTGGTATCTTTTAGTTGTGAATATGTCAGGTCTTCTATAAGAAAAGTTGAGTCAGTCTTATTTCTGAGAAGCTGATAAAATACTTTACTAGTAATTTGTGTGGTACTATGAAGCCAATAGTTATTGAGCCAATAATTATAGATCTTACCTGCTCCTCCTTTCCAGTTTCAAAGAGAAACTAGAGTTTCTGTCAACTCCCTTGACATAACTTTTATAATTTATTACATTAATGGTATGTTAATATCAGTTTCACATTTGATCCAACTTGCAATTTTTGTTGTGTTGGGTTTCTTGTGACCATACAGACCGGTGGTTTCCAAAGTAAAGGAGAATGATTTTAGTTTGGGAGGGGGGGGAAGTTATGAATTGATTGGTATATGATCAACCAATCAGAGGGTGGGAAGACAGTTAGCATTTCACTCTCACTAAACATTGTCAATCACTGATAGTCTACCAGACTTTCCATATAAAGGAATAATAGCAGAAAAGAAATTTGCCCCAGGACTTTTTGATTCTGAATGCCACTGAAGAAGATGGGAAGAATTAGATGCATAACAAGAAACGGTAACAATTTAAATAGAATTTATCTAGCTCATAACATGATTTTCCTCAGAAAAATTCTGTGACATAGCATTCTCATTTTGAAGACAAATAAATTCACTGAAATTAAGGAACAGATCCAAGGTCACACAACAGAAGAGCTAGGGGCTAGAAACCAAGTCTCTAAACTCCTGGTTCCATAGCTTTTCTACTTCATCATATTTTTCTCTCCCACACTTCAATCCTATATATCTATCTTCCTGAAACTGGGAGGCAACTAGGTGATGAAGTGGTTAGAATGCTGGTCCTGGAAACAGGAAGACCTGAATTCAAATCCAGCCTCAAGCATTTACTAGCTGTGTGACTCTGGATAAGTTACTTCACTGCTGTCTACCTCAATTTCCTCAGCTGTAAAATAGGGATAATAATAGCATCTACCTCCCAGGGTTGTTATGAAGATCAAATGAAGTTATATTTGTGAAGTGCTTAGCGCAATGTCTGGCACATAGTAGGTGCTTAATAAATGTTTGTTCTCGGGGGCAGCTATGTGGTGCAGTGGATAGTGCACCGGCCCTGAAGTCAGGAGGAACTGAGTTCAAATCCGGCGTCGGACCAAACACTTGACACTTACTAGCTGTGTGACCCTGGGCAAGTCACTTAACCCCAATTGCCTTAAAATAAATAAATAAATGTTTGTTCTCTGCTGCTGCCACTGCACAGGACCTCTCCAAACTGGCTAGCTTACTGGCATCTCTCCTCAACCAATCTAAAATCAATTCATCTTCTTGCAAAGTCTATAGTGGGACAGTGGCCTAGGCATTAAGAAACCTGGATTTGCATCCCAGCTTTACTTAGTAGCTTAGGGTTCTTGTGCAAGTCAATTAAGGGAAGGGATGTAAACCATCAGCAACTTTTTCAGTAAGTTTCCTCTCCTCCTAGCTTGAAGCCAGGTTCATGGGTATCAGGCCTCTTAAAACCGACCCTGAACAGCAGAGTTGAACTATGAGAGCAAGAAGACGGCCCTGTCACCAATAGGCCCACTGAGGCCATAGGGCCTCTCTGAGGTAAAAATCAGGGAAACACCAAATCTTTAGCCTGAAATTCTCAAAGTCTGCTTTGTTCTGTGACTTCAGAATAGTGGCATTAAAAGGAGAGAGCAGGACAGACTTATTTGTCGCCTCCTTGGGCAGACCGAGTGGCTAGTTCCAGAGGTTCTGGGCTTCCTGGATTGCTTCTTTGCACATCTGCATTTGTGTTCCCCTGTTTGTCCCTGGAGATGTCTCATGCACTGGCCTATTCTGAAAGCTTCCTGAGGTCTTGGGCACAGAGAACATCAAAGTGCTTGGTTGATAAACTGTCATAGCCTTAACAGGGATCCTTGGTTCTTAGGGATCATTATTTTAAATTTGCAAGTATGGAAAAGCATTGGAAATCGAGAGAATGTCCATCAATTGGCTGAGCATGTTGTGGTATATGTTTGTGATGGAATACTATTGTGTTATAAGAAATGATGAGAAATGACATTTTATTTTGTTTTTTGTGTTGTTTTGTTTTGTTTTTTCAGAAAAACCTAGAAAAACTTATATGAACTGGTGCAAAGTGAAGTAAGCAGAACCAGGAAACCATTGTACATAGTAACAGCAATATTGTAACAATGATCAGCTGTGAAAGACTTAGCTACTCTAATGAATACAATGATCCAAGACAATTCCAAAGGATTCATTATGAAAAATGCTATTCACCTTCAAAGAGAGATCTGATAACTTTGATAACTTTCTTGATTTGTTTTGGTTTTTTTTTTTTGGCAACGTGGCTAATATAGAAATATGTTTTGCATGACTTCACGTGTATAATGTATATCATATTTCCTGCCTTCTCAATGGATGGAAGAGGGAGAGAATTTGGAACTCAAAAAAAAAAGTTTTTAAATGAATGTTAAAAATAGAAAAATGATGAAGGAAAGAAAAATACATCTTCTAATACATCTAAAAATACAACTTCTTAGTAGTTCACCTAACCCAACCTCTTCATTTTACAGATGACGAAAACTGAGGCCTAGAGGGGTTATGTGACTTGTCTAAAGTCATGCAGCTAAGTAAATATCAAAGTCCAAATAAGAACACAGGTCCTTTCAATCCAGGGCTCTTTCTGTAGCACTATGTTCCCTTTTTGACAAGGCCTCCTGAGCCCTACTATGTCATGGGACCCTGACACAAACAATGTGACTTTCCAAATGGCTGAGAATTGTGTTTGAGGATTGATAGTGAAATGCCTCTTGGACACGATGCATGAATCTCTCCCTGCCATAAGACATCTTTCTGTGTGTCCAAATATGGATCAATGGATTCTAAATGGAGGTCTGTAGTCATTGCTAATGGACTCCAAAGTCCCAACGATTTAAAAGCTCAGCCAGCCAGGCTGATTATCAATCAAGCAGCCACAGACGGCAGATTTCCTCCACATCTTGCTCTCAGACAGGGAAACAGGCCATAACCAAGAGTCCCTAAGCTTCTCCCAGCAGCCTTCCTACCCACCATCTCCTCTGGTATGCTCAAGCCCTAAATGTGTCATTAGCTTCCAGCTCTCAGCCCAGGACCAGCTAGCTCCCTGCAACAAAGAGCCCTTTCACCACCACATAAGTATTCTCAGATCTTTTTCCCTCTGGTAATAATTATAATTACAGAAGCATACATAGTGAAATGAATAAAGAGGCTATTATTAGAGTTGGGAAGATCTGGGTTCAAATCCTGATTAATTGATACATACCACAGGCAGTTCACTGGAATATCTTTAAGAACAGGGACAGAACATTATCCTGAAAATTTTTTTAAATACCTGCTAAGTGAAGGGCGGCATGTAGGTGTTAGATGCTGTGATACAGTGTTAGCTGCAGGAGAAAACATCACATAGCCAAAGTGCTTTACAAACCTTAATGTTAGCCATTAGTTACCAGGATGGAACAGAGGTGGGGAGGGGGAGGATGTGATTTGTACACAGTGTGTATACCACATGGAAAAGAGAAATAGAAACAAAGAAAAGATGCAAAGTACCCTAGAAAAATTTGCAGAGGAAAAGAAAACTTTCAGCTGAGGGGATCAAGGAAGCCTCCATAGAATAGGAAATAACCTAATCTGAGCTTTGAAGGAAGAAAAGGATTCTACAAAGCAGAAAAGCTGCTCCTGGACGAGTGCATGCAGATACAATGAAAAGTCAATTTCTGGGCTGGGGAAATAGAATCAGCTTCCACAAAAATGTATACTCCCTGAGGGCAAGGACTCTGATATTTTCTTGTCTTCCTAGCTTTAGCATAGCACCTGGTACATAGAGCGTTTAGGAGATATTTGTTGTGTTGAATTAAATTCATTTGAACTGAATCCAGGAAGGCTGAGGGACCTGGGGGTCTGTCTGACCATAGGATCATAGATTTAAAGCTAGAAGGGACCTTGGAGACTACCTAATCCAACCCACTCATTTTTACAAATGAGGAAACTCTAGCTCAGAGAGGCCAAGTGACATCCCGGGCTCTCAAAACTAGTAAGTAGCAGGGGTGGGTTTGAACGCAGATCTTCCTGATTCCAAGACTAGTACTCTCTACACTACCACACTCTAAGGCCATGCTTTAGATGGTAATGGTAGTGATGAAGAGGAACCTGGTGGCCCAGGTCCCAAGACTCCAGGGTGTTCAAATATCCTCTAGCCTCCCTACTCGGAGATGTCTTTTCCAAAGCACATGTACAGGAGTCCTATAAATCTGTAGACGTTGGCCAATCAGGACAATGTCGATCAGGAAAGCCCAAGATGCTTTAGTTTAGAGGGCAGCAGATACCTAGAGGCAGCTATCAGGGAGTCTTCAACCATGTCTTTCTGGGAGCTTTGCTGAATTGATTCCTCTGGCCACAGGCCATAGAACTACTGGTATATATTATCTCATGGTATGATGGAAAGAATACAGGGAAAGGAAGTTAGGAGACCTGGATTTGAGCCCAGCTTTGACACTAACTTGCTCTATGACCTTAGACAAGTCACTCATCTTATCTGGCCCTCAGTTTTCTCTACTGGGAGATGGTTGGACAAGGTTACTTCCAAGATCCCTTTTATCTCTGACTATTCAACTATTTTTCAGTTGTGTCCAACTCTCTGTGACCCCAGTTGGGGTTTTCTTGGCAAAGATACTGGAGTGGTTGGCCTTTTCCTTCTCCAGTTTATTTTAAGACAAGGAAACTGAGGCAAACAGCAACTTTTCCAGGGTCACAGAGCTAGTAAGTGTCTGAGGCCAGATTTGAACTCAGATCTTCTTGACTCCAGACCTAGTGCTCTATAAAATATCACAATGCAAAATTAAATATTATTTCATCATTCTTTCTCATCTGCCTGGCTGCTCATTAACCCAACCTGTTGTCCCTATGGATATTATTTTAGCAACTCTTAACCCAGACCAGCAACCTAGAGACTGTGTAGACCAGAGGTGTCAAACTTACTGCCGGGCAGCAAGGACACTAGAACTAGATTAAAAAGTAATTGGAAAATATTTAACAAAACAAATAAAAATTCAATAGAACATAGATGATGTTAATATGTGGTTTTCTAAGTCAATATGCACCTAGCATGGATGGTTTAGATGTTCTGCTTCTGTTTGAATTTGATACTCCTGATGTAGACCTTGGTGGAAGCATGAGCCAGATGGGCCAGGCATGACAACAGGCAGTTTGGTTCAGCTCAGTTAGCATATGGGGTGGTCTGAGCCAATTACAGAATCAAGACTACAACCAATCTGGGAGTACATTGGAGGAGGAAGATACGTATCAGATCCAGAGAAATAGCTGAGGATCAAGGTGGACCTTGGGAATCTAGAACCAGGTGAGTAGCCTAAGGCCAGAGCACAAGCAGGTGACAGGGTAAAGTGTCCAGCAATGGGCAAACCACATAGATGGTCAAAGGCAGGAAAGCCTTAGGAGCCAGTTTGGCAGGTGGAACAAGGGGCTCAGCACCCAAACAAGAACCTGAGAGGGTGTTAGTTGGGAGGCTAGACAGGCTTTTCTGTATTTCATGTTCTCCAGAAACTCATTATTCTACAAGATGAAATCAGCTGTGTAGCTCAAACCTCCTCAGATTATTTCCAACCAGTATGTAGGTCTTCATCATGTCCCTTGCCAGGTTACTACCCCCTCCCCCACCATTTTTCAGTTTCTTCTTATGTGTCATCTTTTCCCCATTAGATTGTGAGCTCCTTGAGGACAGGGACTGTCTTTTGCCTTTCTTTGTATCCCTAGCACTTGGCACAGTGCATGGCACATAGTGCTTAATAAATGTTTACTGACTCTTTGACTCTGACCTTGGTCAATAACATGAGTAGAGAGAAGGTGGAAATGGGGACAATTGACCCAAGTCATGCCAACCAAGCTTAAGGGCTCTGAGAATCCTCCCAAACTGAGCATCTGTTCTGAGAATAGATGGGGAATCCACTTACCATAAGATCTCATTCCTGGTCAGAAAGGTCAGCGCCTGCAATTAACCATAGAGCCATCAACCTCAGAGTCATGGAGTCCCAGGAATCATGGAGGGAAGGACCAGGATCCCATTTTACAAAAGGGAGAACAGAAAGAAAAACTGGGTCCAAGTCACATAATGTTCTGGGCAGGAAGAAGAGTTGCAATCATCAGCTTCTTTTCTCAAATAATCATTTAAGGACCTCTTGGAAATAGGACAGGCTCCTTTTTAAAGACAGTACTAAGGACTGAACTATGACTTGGGACAGAACTGAGAGCTGGATGCAAGGATCAGGCCAAGACTGTGAGAGTCTTAAGCATCAGGTGAAGAGGATGGAAAAGGGGAGGGGCAGGACCGAAGGAACTGATCTATTCTAGATGAGTGGTTCTAAAACTTTTTGGTCCTAGAACCCTTTATACTCTTAAAAATTATTGAGGACCCTCCTAAAAGCTTTTGTTTAGATAAGATATATCTAATGATATTTACTGTATTAGAAATTAAAATGCCTTAGTATTATTATAAAAATACTTTTGTCTTTGCAGGCCCCCTGAAAGGGTCTTAGGTATACCTGGAGGTGTCCAGACCATACTTTGAGAACCACTGATCTAAAACCATAATGGAGCATCAGAAACACGGGCAAGGCTTATCTTTTCTTCACTGATATTTCTTCAGAACTTTGGGCATATGGACTGGAGGTGGTCCAAGGGACAGCATTACCAGCCCTACCCACCTGATATTCCTCCAATTCCTCCCAGCTCATGGGGTGCCTTATACACTGACCCATGCTATCTCTTGTGGCTTTTCTCTCCGCCCAAAGTCAGTACTGTAGCACCCCACACACTAGTGGGAACCTTCTCTCTCTAGTGTATGGTCACTGACTGGCCTGGTTACCATGGTGACACTCCATTCCACTTCCTGCCTATTCTATCTAGGATGAAGAGCAAAGGGGCCAAGAGTGAAGAGGACCAGATTTTTTCGGTTCCCAAGTTTATCAGGCCCTTGCACACAGCAGCATTGATACTGGTGGGCCTTCCCTAAATCCTGAATGAAACCAGCTGCTTAAAGCTTAGGGCCATAGACTCCTGAGGTTAAAAGGACTTTCTAGGGGTCACCAAGTACATCTCCCTACCTCCAGGCTGAACTGAACCCAACCCATTTCAGTCAAATGGATATTCTCAATATGCTTATAGCTCGATGAGGAATTATATTCCATGTCCTTCCTTGATAAGCCATCTCAGTATCTCCATATCATCTCTCCTGGGATATACCTCTCATGAGATACAATTTAAACTCATTTTGTGTACTGCTGTCCTCTCTGCATTCTGGGAAAATTCCCAGAGTATACATTCATTTCTCGAGCTCCTACAAAGTACAGAGCATACCACGAGGCACTGAAAGACTTATACTTTTTTTCCTTAAAATTGAAAATGAAAGTCCATGGGTTTTGCAAACTATGTTACCTTCTCATACAGCTGCCAGTGTGTATATGGAAATATTAACATTTGGTCCAAATCTAAATGGGCTGATAATTTCTGCAAATCTGGACCTTTATCACTCCAGGTCCCTTGACTTCATTTAGCACACAACAGCTCAAAGCCCACATAGACGGACCAGCTGGAATGAATAAGATGAATAAGACCCTATCCCTGTCTTCATGGAATGTAAAGCGTAGTAGGGAAGATAAGAGATATGTAGCATTTAGCAGAAATTATAATTTAACTCAATAAACATTAAATGCTTACTAGATACTGGCAGTAGAGGTAGTCTGGGGTAGATGATAAAATGATGGGCTAGGAGTAAAAAAGAACTGATTTAAAATCCCACTTCTACCAGTACTTCTTAAACCAGTGACCTCACAGTTTAAGAAGCACTGAAGGGATCATGAGTGAAAAAGTTTAAGAAGCCCTGCTCTATACCACTTCAAACCTATCAGAGTGACCACTGCGACAAAAAAGGAAAATGTTGGATGTTGGCGGGAATGTGGGAAAACTAGGACACTAAAGCACTCTTAGGAGTTGTGAACTGATCCAACATTCTGGAGAGCAATTTGGAACTGTGCATACTCTTTGATCCAACAATACCACTGCTAAGTCTATATACCAAAGACATCCACAAAAAAGGAAAAAGACCTATTTGTACAAAAATATTTATAGCAGCTTTTTCTGTGGTGGCTAAGAATTGGACATTGTAGGGACACCCATCAATTGGGGAATGACTGAAGAAGCTGTGGTATATGATTGCAATGGAATATTATTGTGCTATAAGAAATGATGAGCAGGATGATTTCAGAAAAACTTGGAAAGATTTACATGAACTGATGCATAGTGAAGTGAACACTAAGAAGACGTTGTATCTGGTAACAGCAGTATTGTTTGATGAAGAACAATGAATGACTTAGCTATCCTCGGCAGTACAATGGTCCAAGACAATCCCAAAGGACTAATGATGAAGCATACCATCCACCTCCAGAGAAGGAACTGATATTGACTGAGTACAGACTGAAGCATGCTATTTTTCATTCTTTCATTTTTTCCTTTTATTCGAGTCTTCTTGTACAAAATGACTAACATGGAAATGTTTTATATAATTGCACATGTATAACCTATATCTAATTGCTTACCATTTCAAGGAGAGGGAAGGGAATGAGGGAGGTAGGGAGAGATAGAATTCTGAACTCAAAACTTTAAATAAAAATGTTAAAACATCGCTAAAAAATATAAAATCTATACTCACTATCTGTGTGACTGTCTGTGGCAAGTTGTTTTACCTTTATGTGCCTCAAGCAACTCACTTGGACTGACCTACTAAGTTAGAGACAGATTGCAATGTGTTTGTATGGGGAGTTCCCATGCCAGAAGTTCCCTAAACTGACAACTGCATATGTACAAGGCATTGTGCTCAATTCTAGGGATGTGCCAAAGAAGACGAAATGTAATTGTAATCTCCCTCTAGAAGCTGACATGGGCACAGATAAATATGATAACTATATAAATAATAAATATACTAATATGTAATATATAACTAATAAATACTCGAATAACTATACTAATAACTATAATGCCCAGTAATTTGAAGAGGAAGAAAGCCCTTGAAACTGGTGGCTGGGGAGATGGGAAGACGAGATGAGCTTTAAAAGAAGAGGGTTCGGAACAGTGAAGATGAGGAAAGAATGCATTCTAGTCATGGGATGCAGATCATGTGAATGGATGGAGACAGGAGAAGGAACAAGTTTGGCCTTGATTTTCTCAGTAAAGTGAGCAGGGAGGTCTTCTGCTGAGAAAAGGGGGAGGGACGCTAAGAATTTGAAGAGAAGAGAGGCTCCATGGAGAAGCAGGACACCTGTGTTCTTGTCACTGAACTGCCAATAACTCACCTCATCCTGTCTATGAGCTAAGAGTTAGCATGACAGTGAATACAGCTCCTTAGTGTCAGGAAAGCAGGGGTACAAGTCTTGCTTCTGACACATGCTAGTTGTGTGGCCATAGGTGAGTCACTTAAGTTCCCAGCTAGGTGGGCATGAAAGGGGCAGCTAGGTGGTGAAGTGAATAGAGCACCGGGCCTATAGCTGGGAAGACCTGAGTTCAAATCCATCCTCAGACACTTATTAGCTCTGTGACCCTGTGCAAATCACTTAACCCTGTTTGTCCAAATCCTCCCTACCTTTCAAGACTTAGTTCACATGCTCTCCCCTCTGTGCATAGATTCCTAGTCCCTCTATTTAGTCTCTAGAGTGGACACCCCATGGGAAGAGAAACACTTAAAAGATACCGACCAGAACATAACTGTTGTTGACCCATTCTTCTCTGAAACTAGGTTCTCTGGCAGAATTATTTCAAAGTTAGAAAATTTATTAAAAAACAGAATAACAGAAGGTCAGAAATGCAAGGAACCATAACCAACTTCTTCTATTACAATGAGAGATCAGAAGCCCAGAAAGCTGAAGTTCTTCAGTGGGGGACACACAGGGGCAGAGCCAGGATTATACCCAGGTCTTCTGATGGGCATTCCATTTCCTCCACTGCATTGCCTCATGTGGAGGTCTCCCTGGGACCACCCAGGTCTGAAGAGCAAAGGAGTCTTGGCTATCATTGTCTAGGGTAGAAGCCTGGGTCAGAAGGCTCTAGACTTTGCTCGAATTTCTTCCCTCCAGTTTCCAGGACACAGTTAAATTTGCTAGAACCTTCTGACCTCAAACCAGGAAGAAACCCTGAAGAACATGTACCTGAACACCCCACACAGCAGTCACAGGTAGTAGCTAGGAGGCAGGGGAAGAGGGGTGTGCTAAAGGTATCTCAAAGTAGCTCTTGAGAGCCAGGGGTTAAATTTTCAGTGTCAGCATTTGCATTTTGGGAATAGGCAAAGGCTACAAATCAGGGCTTGACTTATTGTTTTGTTGATTGTCTGGCTTAAGAAAATGATGGCAAAAACATCAATAATGCAAAGTAAACAAAAAACTGGTTAGTGCATGGGGAGCTGGTTGTTAAACATCTACCAGCATATCACTGCAGTTGAATCTGAGAGGTTATAATCAGACAACCACAGGATTTTGAGCTGGAAGGGATCTTAGAAACAATCCAGTCCAACTCCCTCATTTTACAGAGAGAGAAACTTAAGCTACTGATGAGAGAGAGAGGAAGTGACTTGATCAATGTCACACAGGTAGCAGCAGGATCAGAATTTAAACCCAGGTCCTTAGGCATCAAATCCAGTGCCATTTTCACAAAACCACACTGAAAGACATTTAAGGGTGGAGTCTATGGCAGCCCCAGAAAAAGAAGATAAAATTCTCAGGACCACATTTCTGATATATGAATGCAAGACTGCCTGGAGAATTGGCAAAATATGGTGCTTATCTTATTGGTGGAACAGCTAATTCAGGAGGCTCTATGTGCTAGGACAAGGTGCAAGAGGGAGCCAGGCCTTGACTAATGATAGCCATTGGTCAGATCATCAGGTGAGGATATTTGGAGTCTTGGTTTCAAGATTCTTCCCTCTCCAATCCATCCTCCAAACAGCTGCCAAAAGAATCTTCTGAAAGCGTGTCTGACTATGCTGCTTCCTTGCTCAAGGACTTGCAGTGACTATTGCCTTGAAGATAAGATATAAACTACTCATCTTAACATTTCAAGCCCTTCCTAGCCTGTCTCCAATCTGTCTTTGCAGCCTTCTTTCCGTATCAAACGTTCTGCACTCTAGCCAACCCGGCCCATTTGCAATTCCTTGAATTCAACATTCTACCTCCCATCCTAGTGCCTTTGTAAAGGCTCTGCCCAATGCCTGAAATATCCCTTCTCACTCTGGTTCTTTGCTTTCTTTAAGGTTTAGCCCCTGAGCCACTTCTTACAAGAAGACTTTCTTGATCCCCCCTACTTGTTACAACTCATACTCTGTCCTCAAATTATCATGTGAATATTTATCTGTTTACCTGTAGCATCTGTTTATCTATAGTGTTTACCTATAGTTTTTGGTATATATTCCCTAGCTATTTTTTGTTTTCTCTCTGTATCCCCAGAACCCAAAAAAAAAGTGCCTTTCACATAGTAGGTGCTTAATAAATACTTGGTGATTGATTGTTGGATTGAACTGAATTATTGATTATGCAGAAGCACAGTTTAGTTTCAGGACTGGGCCCAGGTGTTTTAGGGGATTAGCTCAGGGCTTGGACAGATGTTTGCTCAGGTAAACTGGGAGTCAATGCCAAAGGCGAGGCTGAGACAGGGCAAGACAGAGCAGAGACTCCTCATGAAATTGGGCAAACCAAGCAAGGCCAACTCAAAGGTAGAA